ATCATCCGGACCGGCTGACTTGAATACGTCCAGTCCCTCCAGTATGTGTGTATGCTTGTATATGTCTTTGTATGACTGGTGTGTCCAAGCTTATGAAACTGCTTCATGTAACCAATAAACACGGCATTTTGCCTTATCCTCCTTTTAAGGTCTCGCTCTTAATTTGAGCTATTGGCAATTTTAAGTAACACATGCGGGGATCCACTGCTTTGAAGCTGACTCTATTAATCAAGTCTGTGCCACATGCAAGCTGATACAAACTGTGCTGTGCCATGTGAAGTTGTATAAGCAGCAAAATGCGCATCAGTGCACAGAAAATGCACCTTCTTTGTGTTTTAGTTCAGAAGCGTGCCACTGCCATTTTCTCAGCACTCACATGCCTTTTGCCACTTATCCAACTGTAAGCATCACAACACCGGGTGCTCATGTGTAAGAATGCCCTTAGAATCATTGTAGACAGTTCTCTGAAAACACCAGCTCAATGTACAGCAGCAACCAAAAAAACCAATAAAATGTTGGGCAACATTAAGAAGGGAACTGAAAACAAAAATAGAAAACATCACCACACCACTATACAAATCCATGGTGGCCTCAAAACATGACTACTGTGTGCAATTCTGGTGTCCTCATCTGAACAAAGATACAATAAAATTAGAAAAAATAATACAGAAAAACACAATAGAAATAATCACGAGTATGGGCAGCTGCCAGACTAAAAAGGCTAGGGCTCTTCAGCTTGTAAAGAAGGCCATGGACAGGATATAAGAAAGGTCTATAAAGTTATGAAGGGTGTGGACAACGTAAATAGGGAACTGTTATTCACCACATCCCAAAATACAAGAAGCACCCACTGAATTTAGTAGGAGACAGGTCTGAAATTAACAAGAGAAAGTGAAAGTGACTTTTCATGCCACATGTAGTTAACTTGTAGAACTGATTGCCTCAGGAGGATATAGGGGCAAACAGCCAGGTTCCAAAAGGGACCAGACAAATGTATAGATGAATAGCTATTAGATTTAATAGCTATTAAACTGAACTGTCAGGGATGTTTCCTCTTGTTTACTTGTGTAGTAAGTACCAGCAGCGTCCCCTGCTGCAGATGTTTCTTCCTTTATAAGTATGAAAGGTTGAATCTTTTCAACAGTTTGTCTGTATGCTGAATAGACGACAGTGTCATTGCATTTGAAAGGGACCTCAACAAGTTACATGATATTAACTCAGTTTACCCCGATTATGTAGAACTGCTTTATAAGCTCCTGTCTCTAAAAGGCTGCATTGCACAGAAGTTTCTCCCCTCAGATAGGCTATGGATTTTGAGCATACACTTCTTTCTAATGAGAATTTTGACTTCCTGAATCTTTTCTTTTTCTTCTTACCCCAAACGGGAGCCACGGTATTTCATTAACATGTACCAGCATATTTATAAGACTGTGACTGTATTAAAGCTCCTACAGGCAAAATTGTTGACTATGTATAGGATCTGGGGGGGCAAGAAGGGTAGCCACCCTGGCACCTGATCCTCCTTAGGTCCACACTGCTTGCTGGTCCTTACCCAGTTCACACTCACCTCCAGTTTCTCACCTGCCATGACTTTGGTGTAGCTGTATTGGTTGTTGGAGAAGGCAGTCCCAGGGGGCTGCACTTTACCTCCTGGGTCCTGAGCTGCCTGGTCATGCCAGCCCCACATCAGGGCCTTTGATCTCTTTCTGGTACATCCCCTTTAAGGCAGTGCTCACATGGGATTCTGAGCACTTGTTGGGGTTTTGGTTGTCACAGCACTGGCCCCTTTCTCTCTCTGACCATACCCTTTGCTTTAGCCCACAGTTCAAGACCTCAGATTCTGGGAATTAGCCTTGCCCTAATGGCAGCCCCCCCTTTCCTGGGGGTCCACTTTCACCTTGGTAGTCTCTGCCCTCTGCCTTGGGGCTGTCTTCTGGTACCTATAGCAGGTAAGCACACTCATGCACCCCTCTCCATGGCCTCCTCCACCCCTATATCCACAATCTGGTTCTCTGGTTACAAGTCCAAAATGAAAAAACACAAGCCAACTACTTCACAACAATCTCTCTCAGTCAGCATAAAGTGTTTCCCATAGGCCCTACCTCCCATAGGAGCCCTCTTACCTGCAGCTCCCCAGGGCATCTTGTGAGGACTTATTTCTACCCCCAGCAGCTCCTTTCTCTCAGGCTTCTTTCCCTCCTGTAAGCAGAGGCCACCCTTTGTCCACTGATCTTATATTCTCCAGTCCAGCCTCCTTCCAGTCACTTAATTGGCCCTTCTGCCCCTTTCCCCTAGGGTCAGGTGTACTTAGTTGCTTCACTAGCTGCCTGACCCCTGGTTCCTTACCTAAACAAAGCCTCCCTTTAATATAGTGTAACAGGCAGGGGCTTTCTGACACACTACATTAAAGAACATTATGATAGTCTATGACAACAGTTCCGAAGAGTGTTAACACACTTGGACAATAAGAGACAACAAAATTTTACCCCCAAAACCTGCTATGGCCTGATCCTGCAGCATCTGACATCAGTGAAAACTTAGCTATTCAGTTCAAGAGGGCAGAACAGTTCCGATAGGGAGTACCAGTAGCTGCTTTTACTATCTGATATGCACCACAGACTGACAGAAGGGAGGCCAAGTAATAACTGGTATCCACCAGACTGCTTAACAGCCAGGTGACTGTGCCTTGAACACTCTGGTACTAGGGAGGACACTGGAGATTGTAATGATCTACATCCTCAAGAAGTCTGAAGCAATCATTGAAAGTATATGAAGAATATGATAAAGCAATAGATCATTTACACTGCTGCCTTAACATGAAATTTGAGTTGAGTTATATAGAAAAGGTGTGTTGAAATACTAATTACTTTGAATCCCAATTGGATTGAAGTGCTTCTGTTAAGCCTATTCCATCAGGTATGTAAGAAAATGTATTCACAGAATCATGGGGGGAAAGTAGGACTGGAAGATAACTCAGGTCACGTAGTCCTCTTCTCAAGGCAGGTTCATCCACGTCTAAAAGCCATTCCAGGTAAGTGTTTGTCTAACCTGCTCTTAAAAAAGACTTCAGGTGGAGATTCTACAACCTCTCTGGGGAAGTGGGGGTCAACTCTTCCGGCAGGTGTGCCACAAATTAGCCCCCACTCTCCCTGAGTGCCACTCCAACTCCTTTCCATTACCTAATCTAGTGCTCAGCTTTGTGCTTTCTCCCCGGTGCTCACTGACCAAGCTGCCACTTCACTTTCTGCTTCCTGTCATGTGCTTCCTGCCTGCTTTGATGCTCTGCTTCCGCTCCCTGCCCTATTTGCCACTATAGGCATAGGGAGTGCATGGGGCTGCACATGCACCCCCAGAGAGTACTGGTGCCCTCCCTGAGAGCGAGCGCTCTTGGCTTTGGTGATGGGCAGGGTGGGCAGGTGGAGCTCTGGTGCTCCCACCTTTCCCCTACCACTGGAGAAATGCTGCTGACATCTGGCTGTGGGGAACCCCCTCACTGCCAACACTGCCATTGCCTGCAGACGGTCCCCGCTCAGCCTGCCCTCGCTGCTGACACCTGCATTAGCACCTGCATTGCTGCCTGAGAGTGGTCACCATGTCCTACCAACCTCAGAAGGCACGCATCGCCTATGACTACAGGCACAGACAGAAGGTACAATTTTCACCCAATCTGGCCCCTAAAAGCATTCTGCAGCCACGACCAAACAAAAGTGCATTACATGAGGGTTCAGATGAAGGCACTCCAAAGTGAAGTGCCCTCAATAAGTTCTGTCTGCACTTACCAGAAGCAAGGCTCAGCTGATGCAGCCTAGCACTGTTCCTGGCACTGTTTTCAGAATGGGGTGTGGGAGGAGGGAGCAGAGGGAGTTTGTTCTGGGGGTTGCCCAGCCAATGCTGGAGGGTGCGATGGATGGAGGTGGGGGGCTCCAATCCATTCAACTCCCCACGCCAGCATGGCTGGAGAAGCCCTAGAACAGACCTCCCTCCACTGCCCTCCCTCCCCACTGTCCTGACAGAGCACAGGAGCTAGGAAAGGGGCTAGAGAACAGATGCTGCAGACACAGCCTCTCCCCCCAAATCAGCTCCAAAGTGGAGCTCAACCACCCACCCTCCTGATCCAACAACAAACACCTGTTGGTTTGGGACGGTTGGTCTAACTTGTTGCAGTTCCTATGAAGTGTCATGAGTTACATCAAGGTGCTGCACTTCTGTCTGTGTCTCCTCCCCAATCTGCTACATGCTATACAACAGAAGCTGCCTGTGCCACTTGTGGCACCCATGGCACAGGTTGGCCACCCCTGCTCTAAGTAAACTTTTCAATGCTTAACCACCAACTTTGAAAGTTCTTTTAAATACCCAATCTAAATTTCCCTTGCTGTAATTTAAGTCCATTACTTCTTCTGCCATCATGTGAAGCCAGAGTGTAGACTATCTCCATCTTCTTTATAACCACCCTTTAGCTATTTGAAGACTCTTACCTAATTCCCCTTGGGCTTCTCCTCTAAAGACTAAATAATCCCATTTCTTCAAACCTTTTTTTGTAAATGATCCTTAGGCCTCTAACCATTTGTTGCTCTCACCCAGACTCTTTCTAGTTTGTCCAAGTCTATCTTGAAGTACAGCACCCCAAACTGGATGAAGGATAGTAAAAAGAACATCATTACTGGATGCAATTAAGAAGGAACTGATAATTACAGTATTTTGGTACTATTATTCTTCATAAAAAGATAAACTCATTCTAACAACTGATGGAGTGATATGCAATATTTATTCTGATACTGAAAGATTCTTGACAAACACAGAATGAGACTAAAATTCAACCTTTGGTGAATTTCATTTTTTACCAGAATCATTAAGCAATTATGTAAAACATTTTAAAATGGTATTAAAACTAAAAATTAATCAAGTTCAAGTAGATGCTAAATCATTTTCATACTATCCAGATTTTTACAAAATAATCCATTACTAAAGTGTTACTACTAAAATATTGCCAGATACAATATAAAATGTCTCACAATAAGAAAAACATCAGGAACTAAAATGTGATAGCTTTAATGAAATAGTATATTTCTTCTACTTACATAGAAGTCCCGGTTTGTCTTTTCTTCTGAAGACTCAGACATGCAATTGTCCAAAACCAACTTCGAAGGTAAAAAAAATATGAACTATTGATAATTAGGATATGATTTAAGAAAAGCAAAATGAAGAAACTCTCAGAAGACAAAAGGGAGAGTTTCTTTGGGTACAGATACACCTACACTTTAGCCATTTTAAAAAAGGAGGAGTGCTGCTGCTCAGATACACACATCCATCAGCTTTCATACTGTAACTGTTATATTTGCATGATTCTGTAGCAAAAAAGTTAGCTAAATTACTCCAACCCTGACTCTGAATGAAGCAGAGTTAAAGTTGGAGTGATCTGCTGTGCTTGTATTGCTATAAAATCATGCAGATGTAACAGTTACATAACAGCTTATACTCCTATACTTTAATACTTAATATAGATGTTGTATCTGTCTATACCCTATAGCAGCCATCCAAAGGGAAACAATTATTCTAATCACCCTTTACAGCATGCAGTGATGCATAGAGAACTCTTGTATTTGTATATACAAGTTAATTAATGAGAGGTATATGTGATTTCAATAGTCATGTGACAATTTGCATGTGCAAATGAAAATATTTTATAAATATATGCAAGAGTACAACAAACACATGCATATTCACTCACAAGATTTAGAGGCACATTTATGTAGATTTGTCAAAATTCACCTGTGTGTGTGAATAGCCCTATAAAAGATTTTAGACCTGAGTCTCCTCTTACATACTTAACTTTTCTGTTTGCTTATCTCCATTGATGTCAAATTGCATAAGTAAAAGGAAATAAAGAGAAGTTGCTAATATTGCATACACTGAGCTCAACTACCTGAAATATAATAATACTTTTTCATACAATATTCTGTGTACTGATGTAATTTTTATTTAACAGTAATTAATTGCATTGTTTAAGGCAGTGCTGGAAAACCTGTAATGATGCTGCCACATAACTGAACTTAGGAAATGAGGTAAATTCTTAGTGTATGGAGTAAAAACTCTTACCTTAAATGATTCAGGAAGGTACTCGACCATCTCTAACAAGGGACACTTATTGGCACTACAAGAGTGCGAAAAAGTTGTCACAGCTTCTTCCCATCTGCAAGAATAATTTGAAATAATGGAAAATGAATTCTATACTCATCTGAAATGGATCAGCTAACCAGATACCAACTTTCTAATGGAAGAAAAAATGATTATCTTTAAATGGTAGGAACTGTTACTTCAGAAATTATTCTACAATTTACAATTCATAATAGATTCATGTCACAAAATGGACAAAAAAGGTCTATAAGAATAGTTGAGTATCATCCCCAGTTGCTTTCCTAAGAATGAGGTAAGCCTCTTGTTTATTAAAGCACATGCCTATACTTTAAGAAGAAAGAATAATTTAGGCCTGTTGTCTATTCTTGGCACATGCAAAAAATCTTCATTAGCATTTTTTTCATTAGGTTTTTGCAGGACATGAGTCCTTCTTAAGAGCAATATAACCCTGAACTCATTATGAACCCAGAACTGATGGTGGAAACATGTATCTTTGGCTACAAGATTATACAGGTAAAATTAAATATTGGTCATTACTTTTCTATTTAGCATAAGAGGTGATGAGTAGGAAATGGTCCTACTCTATTTGTAAAATTAACCTAACACATTTAGCAAAATGATGTCATATATCAATATATCCCAACCAAACTACAACCTAACTCCCAGGTACTGCAATTTTTGCAACAGTTTAAAATAGCAATATAAAATTAAATAACTTAAATTGTGTGATTTGTGCTTTAACTTTGGTTAAAACTCTTATTATATACGTAAAACATTTTTTCTTATACTTTTCCTCTTAGCTTCCTCAGGAGAGGCCAATTATCTTGGTTTCTTGTAGGCCCTGAATAATCATCCTGACATGGAAGGGATTTGTTCCCTATGGCTGATGTTTATTATGATTTTACTACTACTTTTTGATTTACATTTGATTATGATAGCATACATCTTTAGAATATGAAAAATAGGTCAATCTTATTAAAATACTATGTATTTTAACTAAAAGCGGACAAAAAGACAGCAATATACAATAAGTACTTGAAAGATTTAAACTGCTTTTATGAATCTTACCTTTTATTCAGAATGATCATAGATACAACATCTTTTTGCCTACTGTGTATTGCTTCATGAAAAAAAGAAGCTACTGCTTTGTTCAAAAGTATCTTGGCACCATGGTCAAGAAGTAGCTTCACTGCTTTTGGATGTCCTTCTCTTGCAGCAAGGTGCAGAGCTGTGTTCTTTTCAGAAAGACAACATATCTAAACATTATTAGAAACCCCATTTGTTACAAGTGTTAAGCGTGTAAGTTAGTTTTCTCTACCCCTACCAAAGGGTCAGCATTTGCTCTCTGTTGCAGTGTGCGACTCCTGAATAAATTAGTTGGTGTTGCATAAAAAAAGTATATCATTCCATGGCCTTAATTCCATATGCCTGCAACCAAAATACCACTAAAATCTGAAAGTATAAAGCATATAAAGGGAGAAAAATCTCACACTTACAGTTAATAATAGCAAGATGTTACAAAAAGTTATAAATGCGCTGTATCTCAAGATCCATATAACTCATATTTGAGGGCAACAAGGTTAGTATCCCATATTAGATCCACAAAGTGTGCTCATTCATGTTGGTCTTCAGGAAATTATTTATGGGAAGATTTCTAATAAGACAATTTTACCATCAGTGCCTTGTATGAAACTAAAGGATATGGTTAGAATTCCAAGAGGGTTATAAAAACAGGTCCTATTGAAAGTCAGAGGGATTGATGCTCATGAATCCTTTTGTTATTATTCAAGTTACTTGTGTCAACTCACCCAATATTCTATTAAGAATGTGCAAATAAAGGAATGCACATTAGCTTCTGAATATTTCCAAGTAGAATTTGTTTAATCCAAAATGCTTTAAGCACTGCCTGTATAAGACACATTTTGTTGGTAATGGTACAGTAGTTTGAACTGATTATTTTCTGCTTTTTAATAGAGAATTTTACAAAAGAATCCAGTTCCAAAGATTACTTTCTTGATCCAACAGATTCTGGTTTTGTCAAACTTTAAAACAACCTGCAAGCTGTATCTATTGGGCTTTGTAAAAAGAGATAACATTCAGGTATCTGAAGTGGCTTGTTGATGAGTCATTATTACCTAGAGATTTCTTTTACTCACTATGAACTCTCTATATTGTGACTTTCTTATGCTATTATATTATGTTTTATTGTTATGTGGGCCACTAATGTGGTTGACAGAGTCCAAACAAAGTAAATCCAATATAGTTAAAACATTTACGCTTGGTTTTTTTATACCTCCTAGAGGTTGGGTATTCACCTAATTATAAATAAATTTAAACAACAGGTATTATCAATAAGGAAAACATTAAGACTAACTCCTGTGAAATACTATCTTAAATTCTGTCTATTATAATCTGTAGCAGTGAAACCAGTCTATTAACAGGGTACCATACTCATGTGGATTAAAAAGTCCAAGGTTGGTAAATACAAAGTATTTGTAGGGTTGGGTATTTGAATGGT